AATCCATAATGCAGGTACACAATGCAATACTAGAGGACCACCAAGGAAGTCCTCTGAATGTATTTTTGTATTCTCCTACAACTTTCTTTTCTAATCCCCTTCTACTTGATTGCCTCCCTTAAGGTGGTGTCTGCCTTTCACACACACCCCCCCTTTTTTTTTTTTTTTTGCGGGATCCTAGTTCCCACTGGACTGCCAGGGAATACCCTGCCATTCCTTTTAATCCGGCACAACTCTTTTGAATAGGGAGATGTGCCCCTGTCAACCAACCATCCCACATTGTCTTTTCATATACGTTCAGGCTCTTTCAAGGTTTTCACCCAAATGCTGTTGCAAGGAACTTGCTTGTTTGTGTCTCTTTGGGTTCTTGCGTTTCTCTAGAAAAAGCTACCCAGAAATGGAAGTACTAGATCAAAGAGAATGCCTATTACCAATTATAACATTCCCCACACCTTCGCCAATACCGGACAATATCAGTCCTGAAGCCAGTTGGATGGTTAAAGAAATGACAGGAAACCAGTGTGGCTGAAACAGATGGGACAGGAGGAGAACGCGCGAGATAAGCCTGAAGCGGTGGTGATAAAGGGCAAGAAGAGCCCGGAGAGGCGTTCATGAACACCCCCTCTCACGAAAGGAAGAACTCACCCGCCCTCACTTCGACTTCCGCCGCAGACCAGCGAGCAAGGACGGCCGCCGCGTGCCCGCCGCAGGGGCGTGTCCTGCGCAGGCCCCGCCCCCGCTGCGTGCGCACGTCGGGCCGCTAGCTAGGCTGCGGCGGTCGCGGCGCCCAAGCGAGTCGCTGACTGACGCGCGGACGCGGTGTTGACGGACGCCGGAGCGGACCCGCGGCGGGTGAGTGTCGGTGCCCTGCCTGGCCTCTCTCGGGGCTCCTCCGCGAGCCTGGCCACCCCCGGCTCTCGGGAACTCCGCTCGGCCGACACGGCCCGCTGTTCCCCCTCGCCCGCCTGAGGAAGCCCGGACGGGCCGGGGCGAGGGGCGGCCGGCAGGCGGCGAGCGGGACGGCTGGGGGCCGGGAGGGAGGACCTCGCTTCCCAGACGGCGTTTCAGAGGCCCGCGGAGGCTTGAGCCGCTCGTTCGCGTCGGTCCTCGTGGGGCACACCCCCCTGCCGGCGTCTCCTGCGCCCCACAGGAGGTGACCCGACCCCCGGGTCGCCGCGGGAGGACTTGGCGTTCCCGCCAGGCCTGCAGCCTCTGGCCGCCCAGCCCGCACGTCGGTCCACTTTGGGCCGGCGAGGACCCGGACTTGGCCCGGCGTCCGAGAGTCGTACCCGGGCTGTTGGCGCGGACCCGGCTCTGATCCTCCTCCTCCTGACTCACCTCTGGCTGAAGGGCCCTTTGAGTCACTTCCCGAATTACCCGCGGCCGCCAGGTTGCAAGGGACCAACGTCAGGGGCAGCTGGTTAGTCTGGCAGGGAGTCTACCTGTCACCTCACAAGCGCGGTGCCCTCGGTGTGTTAACTGCCCTGTAAAAGCTGCCAGGACCGCCTTGCACAGTCTTAGCACAAGGCCTGTCTGCGTCTTGTCATTTTAATGACTTCTGGTGACCTGGTTGCTGTGGCCTGTGGCTGTTCATCCTTATGTTGTATCGTTGGCTCCCATGTCCCACACCAGGTGGAGCATGTTTGAAAAAAGAGAGACATCCTATAGTGCTCTAGAGCTCAGGAAGCCCTCTCACTCTCAGCCCCTAACAAGACTGGTGAAATGGGGTTAATGATGAATGGAATTAAGAAGCTTAACCTGCCTCCCACAATCAGGAAAAGGGCACAGGTGGTCTTGTACCTGGTTGTCTGCCCCCAGATCCCATGCTTTTTCCTAGAGTATAAATAGATTTATGTTATTTAAACTAGACAGTCTTCCCCCTCCCCCTAAACTGTCCTCCCACGTAGAAGGAAACAGGAGTTTACTGGTTTTATGTATTTGAGTTTCTGTTATGGCATTAACCAGGGTATTTTGATTAAAATTTTAACTGCCACATTAAAATTTTTAGTTTTGCTTTTGTGAGGAGGGGGAATAAGGAATATAAATGAGTAAATCTGTGCTTTATTCTTTAGTTTTTTTTTTTTTAAAGAAACATCACAAGACAGAACATCACAAGCTTACCAGCTCACAGTTCAGTTGGTCATTTCCAAGTTTACTTGGTGAAAGTGGGAAAAGTTTTCAAATACAGTAGCTAAGCCAAAGGCTTCCCAGGTGGCTCTGTGGTAAATAATCTGCCTGCGAAGGCAGGAGATGCAGGTTCTATCCTTAGTTTGGGAAGATTCCCTGGAGAAGGAAATGGCAACCCACTCCAGTATTCTTGCCTGGGAAAGGCCATGGACAGAGGAGCGTGGCAGGCTATAGACCTTGGAGTTGCAAAGAGTCAGACTCGAATGAGCAAATGGGCACTCAGGCAGATAAGCCAAAACACTGGTGAGGGTGTGGGGATTTGAAGGACACACTCGTTGAGTGACTTCTTCTGATTAGGGATGTGAAGAGGAAGAATCTGTGATTTCCCCATTGTCTGACTATTTCCTTTTTTCCTTTGCCTGGGCCAGTAAAATGATAGCCAGAGAGTCTCCAGAGTCAAGAGTATGAGCTACTCCAGAAATGACAATGCCAAGGATAAGATGAAATACAGAAAGTAAAGTATTCATCACCTTTGGTTTACACTCATTGAGTCTGTCAAAAAACAAAACAGCCAGGGCCTTTGGCTACCTTGATTTTTTGGTTTCTTTTTAAAAGCTGACTCTCTTCAGAGAACAGTTGGGCTGTGTATCAAGTTTGCAGCAAAAACCAAAATACCATTCATCTAGGAGGAAGACATTTTTGAATATTGGAATTGTATATTTCAGCATAGTTCCCTGACCAGGATTGGAATCCATGCCCTCGTCTGTGAAATTGTGTTTTCCTAATCATTGGACCACCAGGGAATTCGCCAGTATAAAATTTAGAATTTAACTATAACTCCTTGGAGAGAAAAGATGAAAAATTTGAACCATAAATTACCTCCTTGTTTATTACTGGCCATAGTTAACTAAAAAATTTTAGGTACACACTTAATTCAGTCTCTTATTCTGACAGTAGTTAATGGGAGAATTGAGAGATCTGAGTCACATCTCCTTTTGTATTGAACACAGCGAACGTTATTTGCTTTTTAACTTTATTATATCTGTTAGGTTTGTTTGTGTAAAACAGAGGATGAAAACTCTTTTGTTGTAACCTGTCTTTTGTTGTAACCTGAATAGTCTCTCAGGATATTTTTGCCCTGCTGAGAAGCAGTGCCATTACCAGTTAATTCTTGCCAGCAGTGAAGGAGGGGGTGCATATCTTTAATTGGAACAATTAATATAACTGCTTATACTGGGGTCTTTCTGTTTTTTATAGTGAAGATATTTCACTCTGGTGACCATTCAGGTGCTCTGTGATATTGTTCACTCCAGTTTGGTTTACTTTTTCATATTGACTTCGTTTATTTACCATAAAATGTCTCCCATTATATTACACATTGTAAAGCCAGTGAAAATTAGCACTATTGTTGATGGTCTGGTCTAACAATGTTATATATGTTTACAGAATATGCATTACATTTATTCATAAATCCTTTCTATATGACCAGCTTCTTTCTTATTAAGAAGAATAATGGTTTTGGAATTGACTGTAGATACTTTAGAGGTGCATAGCTATTGTAAAGGAAGTTCATTTATAGTCAGCCCATTAGAGGACTACATCTTAATTGTGATCTTGGCTGACTCCAGTGGAGCAAAGGACGCTTTCTGGGTCATCATATCAACCACATCTATAGTCAGACCTTCCTTACAAGCTAACATTCTGAACCTTAAGTATTTGTTTCAAAACAGCAGTTAAATTCATGAGGCTCTTTTTAGTCAGCAGGCTTTAATGTCACTTTGATGTAATTTTAGAAGACTTTTAGCAAACATGCATTTCCCTATGTGATAGTTTTTTTAAGCAAATATTTTAATAGTAATTCAAGGGCTGTTTCGTCAGTTTGTTGTTGTTTAGTCACTAAATTGTGTCTGACTCTTTGGGACCCCATGGATTGCAACACACCAGGCTTCCCTGTTCTTCACTATCTCCTGGAGTTTGCTCAAACTCATGTCCATCGAGTCGGTGATGCCATCCAACCATCTCGTCTTCTGTTGCCCCCTTCTCCTCCTTCCCTCAGACTTTCCCAGCATCAGGGTCTTTTCCAGTGAATCGGCTCTTGCATCAGGGTGGCCAGAGTATTGGAGCTTCAGCATCAGTCCTTCCAGTGAATAGTTGGCTTATGGAGTAGGAATTGCATCAGAATTGCATGTCTTCTTGCATTCATTGAGGAGGGTTCTTTTTTCAAATATGTGCTTAAGTATCTCTCTGTGAAAGTCTACAGATACACTGACTTTTTGTTTGCTCTTCAAAATGATTGAATTGTTAAGTACAAAATTGAGCTGATTAATCAATTTGTAACCATTATTTTCATTCATAAACAGCTATTCAGCACTAGATAATGTTTTACATATGCATGTATGTTTTCCAAATACATACGTGTTAATTTATATTAGAAAGAGTGACAAATAAATGGTTCATTTCTCCCCCACAGGAAGCTGTGGAGTATTTTTGATCATGAGAAAAACGTGTAAACCCCTTGATGTGCAGTTTCTGTGTCTGAAAAATGAAGTTAATACTTGATGAGCCTTCAAGTCTTGGGTGCCTAGAATGCTGCTCTTCAGTCTAAGGGGTTTCCAGACCTTTCTGTTTCACTAAGTTAGGGGTTGGGAACTTGTGTTTTTAAAATTTCCCGCGTGCTTCTTGTTTGGGGCCTCCCTGGACATAAGAGAGAGCGGACTGGCAGGAAGGCAGAGAAGTAGTGACAGGAAAAGGATGGATTGCTGCACACAGTGCCTGCCATCTGCTGTTCTGCCAGAGGCCCAGCAAGTGGATGCTCTCTCCTCTTTGTTGTTGTTTAGTTGCTAAGTTGTTTACGACTCTTTGCGACCCCGTGGATGGTAGCCTGCCAGGCTTCTCTGTCTATGGGATTTCCCAGGCACAAATACTGGATTGGGTTGCCATTTCCTTCTCCAGTGGACAACAAGAGCAACACACGAATAGATTTGTTTCCTTCCCAGGAATATCAGTAAGTCTAATTATTGTCATAGTTCTCAGTAACTTTAAAAGGGCTTTGGGGAAGAGTGGCCTAAAGAGACAAGTGTCTAGCACCCTGCCAGCCTGACTTCTGCTAAATACCCTCAGCTTCCAATGATTCTCCCAGTGAGCTCTCTCAGTCTTGGAAGCCTCAAGTTTCACTGTCTTGTATTATATTCAATTCCACAATTACCTGAAGGCTGTGGGAAGGTGCTGGCATGATTAAAACAATCTGCCATTATGCTTTTAGTTAATCTAGTTGGCTGACCTGCCTCATCAGTCACTGAGGTGATCCTGTTTATTATGACAAACACTGGGACCCATAGTCTGAGCATAGAGGTGTACTTGAAGGAGTTGGTGAGACAGGATATTTGAGTCAGAACAGTCCTAGAAAATCTGGAACATAAACCTCTGTCTTTAGCACCATTGTCTGTACTGCACAATTAGCATTTATAGTATAACACACCTGTTCTATTAGTTATCTTTCTGTTTCTCTTTTTCTCTCTCTCTATTGAAAGCTGCTTAAAATCGCCAACAAGATTGTAGGCCTCTTTGTAGTCAAGGAGCCCCATGAGTATTATAAGTGTTTGTGGACGATAACATGGATGTCACACGCACAGGCGTGCTCATCCCTTCCTTAGTACTGCATCTGCTGTTCTCTCTGGTAAGACCACTTGGAGCTGCTACGGAGGAACTGTTGTCACCTGAAACTATTTCCAGAGCAGCTTGGGGGAGCGCAGGCAGAGGAGGGGAAGGATCAGTGAGCAAAACTGAGTTAGAGTGTGAGGGGGTCCTGGGTAGCAGTGTTTGAAGGTGACGAGAAAAGCAAAGACAGTGAAGGGATGTTATACCTTTGCTCCTTCAGTTTTATAGAAGGAGACAAGGGGAGGGTCGGTCTTATCTTTGCTTAATAACCGCAGGTGTCCCACAGAAAATAACTTTTAAAACATTCTATTCCTCAACCACACTTGGGTTTTGTCAGCCTCAGAGAAATCTCTTAAGTGTCTGTGCTCAGTGTCATGTTTGTCTTGCTTTGTAACATTTTTTGTGTTTGCAGAAAGTCTTAGTGGTGCACCCAAAAGGAACAGTGAGATGATTGGCTGCTCTGGGATATGCTTTCTTCCCTTTTGCATGTGACTTTTCTGAGACACATGCCCAGATTTAAAGTCAATACGTTCAAGTTCAAATGCTTACAGGCAGAAGGACGGAGAAACAGCGCACTCTCTGCCCACTTGGCACACTTGTATTGCCTCTGTAGTGTGCACTGAGGGGGTTGCAAAAACAACAGACCCATGGTCCTGTTCACCAAGAGTCGGCAGTCACCTTGAGTAGGTGCCAGACAGCAAATGCACTTTGTAAGTTTGTGATTGTTGTTTTGACACTCAATATTCTGGGAGGTCAGGGAAGTGAAGAGCTGAGAAATGGAAAAGCCACTTGAACTGAATCCACTGGGTTGCGTAAAAGACAGTAGGAACAGAAGAGCAGGAAGGAGGGGAACCATTGCTTAGTGAATGAGCATTCAGGGAGTTACTGGAAACATGTCACCCACAAAAATGTCTTTCATAAATGGCTCGTCTAACAGGGATTCCTGAACTTGAGGGGCCTGTGGGTGCTCTGGAATGGCATAGGTAACACGTATTTATTTATTAATGAACTTCTTCTCTCCAAATTTATTTCTTCTGTATCTGCAGAAGTTCAACACAGGAGGCAATAGCCACGTGAGGCAATGTTTTTTTAACTTGTGATTGTCCTGGAGAGAGAGTCAGAAGCCTTCCTCTGATTTTCAGAAGGGTTTGCAACCTCAAAAGGGTAATGATTATTATAATCTGACAAATAGCTTTGCTACCCATCTTCAGAAGTACACATCTCTGAATTTGTATCTTCAGATGAGGAGGTAACTGGGTGGTAGACTAGAGAGAGAAACCCAAGGATTCCTTTGTAAACAACCTTCTACCCAGCACCAGGTGTCATGGGACATACATGAGTGCTTGTGCAAAGGACAGCATGTTCCCACATACACAGTGGTCTAGTCAGGTTGCCAGGCGTGGCACAGCTAAAGTGTGCTTACTGACTAGCAGGGGTAATACTCAGCTCTGCCCTCGGGGGCCTTGTGGTCAAGTGCAGCTGTTTAAAGTGTGTGCCTCTCCACAACACACAGTTAGAGCCAAGTAGGCGGAGAAGGCGATGGCACCCGACTCCAGTGCTCTGGCCTGGAAAATCCCAGGGATGGAGGAGCCTGGTAGGTTGCCATCTATGGGGTCACACAGAGTCGGACACGACTGAAGCGACTTAGCAGCAGCAGCAGGGGTGTTGGGAATGGGGTGAGAAATCATGTGCTTTTTGGAAGCTCAGGTCATTTTTTTCAGAAATGACTGGCCTATTGGAAACAAGATATGAAAGAGGGAGGGAGCCCTGGGCAGGTTCGGGAGTGGTGACTGATTCAGAACCAGCTTCCCTCTGCTGCTTTTGACATACAGCCTGAAAAGACTGTCCCAGAACTGCCGTCACTTAGCACACACAGTGGGACATGCAAACCATCTGTTTCAGAGTGAGTGCCTTAGCTCCCCAGAGCTCAGCCAGCCAAGTAGGCCAAGCTTGTACCCCTGCCCCGCACCCGCCCCCCCACCCTGCTTTAACTGTGGATGGTCCACTGTCTGTTCTTCTGGTATCAGCCTTTTGTTTAGGGTTGGGCTGGGGAAAAGGCGTTAGCATACCTCAAAGCAAGCCCTGGAGCACATGATTTTCTGCCTTTCTTGTCAGTTGCCCTCCCCGTCTTGTCTACCTTTTCCCCTAGTTATTCATTCACTATTGCCTAATCAGGTCCTTAGTCAGCAATAGATGTTCTGGGCCATTTGAATTTCTTCTCAGTAATGATTAGTGCTGACAATGATGTTTGACCAGTTCTGGAGACCTCTTGGGAATTACAGGCACCCACTTCATGTATCTTCATGTATTTCATGGGGCTGCCTCATGCAACAGGAAGTTGCTCTGTTTTACAGTGGCAAATTGCTGTTTGTTTTTTTAAATTTTCTTTTTGGTAAACTGGTATTTTTGTAGCATTTTGCTTTCCCTCCTGCAGTAACCATAACAACATAATGCCTTGTTGTATTTCCTCCAAAATGTTCTAAAGACCAGATGTGGGCTTGTTAAGAGAAGCTTGACCCCCCTTCCCTAGAGTAACAGACCTGAGAAGAAAACTGCTGTGAAACCCCTTCCCTAAAGCCAGCTGGGGGAATAAAGGGTTCTCCTAGGTGGACAGCAGGAAGGGCCAGTGCTTTTTGCCTGCATAGGGTGGAGCATTGCTGGCAAGCGTTTGCTACCTGGACTATTAAAATTTTGCCTATCCATTTCTTTTTTTTTTACCCCCTTCTTTTTCTCCCTCCCTCACCTCCCATCCCAAAACCTCTCTTTTTTTTTTTTTTAAAGTACAGCTGTGTCTGCTGCCTCATCCTACACTGCTAGCCTCCTTTTCTTTTTTAAAAATAATTTTTAAAATTTATTCACTTTGGCTGTGCTGAGTCTTCATTGCTGCTCTGGCTTTTTGCCAGTTGTGGTGAGCAGGGCCTACTCTCCAGTTGCAGTGCCTCAGCTTCTCACTTCAGTGGCTTCTCTGGTTGCTGAGCACAGGCTGAGTCAGGCATGTGGGCTTCAGTAGTTGCCGCACACGGGCTCTAGAGCACAGGCTCAATAGTTGTGATGTACTGGCTAAGTTGCTCCGAGGCATGGCTTCTCCCGGATCAGGGATCAAATGTGTGTCTCCGACACTGGCAAGAAGATTGTTTACCACTGAGCCACAAGGGAAGCCCTCCATTTCCTTTTTAAAAAAAAAAAAGAAAGAAAATGTAAGGCAGTGTTCTGTTCTTAACTAGGCTTTCAGAATCCTTAAAATATAAAAGGTATGTTCTTAATAGCTGTATCTGTGGAATGTGATGGAGGCAGTTGAAAACCATGCAGTGCAACCTTTCTCTTTCAGCCCCTCTACAAGGCCCATGTAACAACCCCCCCACCCACAAATGCTCATCAGTAGCAATTTTTGTAGTAAATATGGTGCCCAAAGATACTTACTCACTAGCCAGCCAATTTTCTTATGTCTGGGATTCACTTTTAAATGTTCTCTTTGTCATCTACTCTTTGAGAATACCTCGATTTTGAGGATACCTCACATTCTGGAAATCATCCAGTCACTTAACAAACCCTGATTAGGTAGGTACCCTGTGTTGAAGTAAGACACAAAGATAAATGAGCTGTAATCTGGAAAAAAGACATATGTACAAAGAAATGCTGCAGCAGGATACACGTGCTGTAATAGATGATGAAAAGCTAGCTTAGGTGGCTCTTAATGTAATATCAGGCCTCCAAGATCATCCAGCTCATTGTTATCTGACCTTATTTTTAGAAGCAGCACAACTCCATTTTCGGAGGAGTATGCGAGCTGCTGTGTCTGAAATGGGTGGGGGAAGCCCACGGTCTTTCCTGCTCTACCTTCTGTTAAATGCCATCCTCCCTGCAGCTCTCTGAGAAGTGCCTCTTATTTTATAAATGAGGCTGTTGGAGTTCCAGAGCAGTAGTGTTTGTAATACAGCTAGCTGGCGCAGACCTGGTATTAGATCTTAGTTCTCTTCCCTCTTAGCCTACATGTCAGTCAGACACCAAACTGATAAACGATGATTAGATTTTCTCCCAGTTCTGTGTTCTATTCCTTCAAGAAGTCAGTGAACATGTTTCTGTCAGGGGCTTCTCCTCTCCCTGGCTTTGTTAACTGAGCCTGCTTGAAAGGTTTTGCCTCCTTGTGATCTAAGTACATGTGAGTCCTCTTCCCAGGAAGATACTGTGACCCTTTTCCCTGTCATCTGTGGGTAGTGAGTGCCAGGTTGCCCCACTTACAGCCTCTTCTGTTTTCTGGTGGAAATTCAGTTTCCCCAGAAATTGCTGTAAAGGATATTTGATGAAGGTATGTGATGAATGGCATGAAGCTTACTGTGAAAACAGACC